AAAGCTTTAGATAAGGTCCTTATAATGCTTAAAAGTCATTCTTAGAAAGCCAGAAACTTAAACAAATTCCTTAATTTGGTAGATTTTTATACTTACTTAAAATACTATTCTTAATGTTGTTGTTGTTAGGTGCCGACACCTCACAACTTAATGACCCAGTGTACAACAGAACGAAACACTGCCTGGTCCTGAGCCAGCCTCACAACTCTTGCTATACCTGAGTCCATCAGTGCAGCCGCTGTGTCAATCCATCTCACTGAGGGTATTCCCCTTTTTCACTGACACTCCACTTTACCAAGTATAACATCCTTCTCCAAGGAATGGTCCCTTCTGACAACAGGACCAAAGCAGGTGAGATGAGATGAAGTCTGGCCATTCTTGTTTCCAAGAAGCATTTCTGCTGCACTTCTTCCAGGATAGATTTGTTCGTTTTTTTTGGTAGTCCGTGGTATTTAGTATTCTTCGCCAACACCACAACTCTTCTTCGGTCTTCCTTGTTCATTGTTCAGCTCTCACATGCATATGAGATTATTAAAAATACCATGGCTTGAATTAGGCACACCTTAGTCTTCAAGGAGACATCTTTGCCCTTCAGCACTTTAAAGAGGTCTTTTGCAGCGATTTGCCCAGTGTAATATTTCGTCTGATGTCCTGACTGCTGCTTCCATTGGTGTTGATTGTGGAACCAAGTAATATGAAATCTGTAATAACTTCAATCTTTTCTTACTATTCTTAATGAGAAACTTCATCAAGGACAAGGCAAGAATGTCCATGTTCCTTGCTATTGTTTAGGGCTGGAGAGCTAAACTAAGGTTGTAAGGAAAGAGAATAAGAGGTGTAGAAACTGGAAGGGAAGAGAGAAAACTGTCATTGCAGATGGTCTGATCATCCACCTTGAAAAACCAACCCAGTTAGTTGACAAAGTGTTAGAACAAATGAGAGAGTTGAGCAAAATTGCCAGGTATGCCATCGGCAACAAGAGCCAACAGTATTTTTACAACAGCAATTACCAACCAGAAACACTGGAGGTAATGGTGACAAGGAAAGGTGTATATCTATCTATCTGTCTAAGGATCTCTGGTGGTGTAGTGGATAAGGCATTTGGCTGCTAACTAGGAGGTCAGCAGTTCAAAAGATGGGGCAATCTACTTCCATAAAGATTTACTGCCTTGGAAACCCAATGGGGGTCGCTATGAGTCGGAATCAACTTGATGGCAGTGAGTTTTTTTTTTTACTTCTTCAGGTCTATCTATCTATCTATCTATCTATCTATCTATCTATCATCTATATCTATCTATCTATCATCTATCTATCTCAATCTATCTATCTATCATCTATCTATCTGTCTATATCTATCTATCATCTATCTATCTATCTATCTATCTATCTATCTCTATCTATCTATCTCTATCTATCTATCTATCATCTATCTATATCTATTTATCTATCATCTATCTCTATCTCTATCTATCTATCTATCTATCTATCATCTCTCTCTCTCTCTCTCTCTCTCTCTAGGAGCTCTGGTAGCATAGTGCCTAAGGCACTTGACTGCTAACCAGAAGGCTGGCAGTTCAAACCCACCAGCCACTCCTCAGAAGGAAGGTTGGGCAATCCTACTTCCGTAGTGATACTGCCTTGGAAACCCAAGGAGGGGTCGCTATGAGTCGGGGCCGACTCGACGGCATATAACAACACAACAACAACATCTATCTATCTATCTATCATCTGCACACATGTATGTTGTCGTGTGCTGTCCAGTTGATCCAACTCATAGTGACCCTGTGTGATATAGGACTGCTCCATAGGCTTTTATTTAAAAAATAATAATAATAATAATAATTTGTTTTATTTTTATTGCTGTTGCTAATAATCTACACAGCAGAACATCCACCAGTTCAACCATTTCTCCACATACAATTCAGTATCACTGATGACATTCTTCAACATGTCCCATCGTTCTCACCCTCCTTTTCTGAGTTGTTCCTTCCCTCTTAACACAGACTCACTATCCCCTAAAGTTTCCTATATAATCTTTCGAGTTGCTGTTCTCACTTTGATCCCATATCATTTTTAAGAGAGCGCAGCACTCAAGGCTGACCTTGAGAAGGCTGACCTTCACCAGTGAAGCTAAACTGTTGTGCTTGGTTTTAAGAAGACTTCAGGGGGATGTTTTTGCTTTAAGACTTAAAGATGATCCCAGGGCAATAGTTTTGGGGGCTCACCCAGACTCAGTAGCTCCTCCTTTCGTAGTGTTTCCTTGGCTGTGACCTTGATGGAGGGTGGTGGCCGGGTCTTCCTCCCATGGAGCAGCTGGGTGGGTTCAACCTGCTAAGCTTTCAGTTAGCAACTGCGTGCTTAGCCGTTTTGCCACCAGGGCTCCTCATACACATATCCTCAAATATGTAGATAGTTCTCAGCTGCTAACCAAAAAATGGAAGACTTGAGTCCACCCTGAGGCACCTCGGAAGAAAGACCTGGCAATCTGGCTCCAAAAGATCAACCACTGAAAAGTCCGTGGAGCACAGTTCCGCTCTGACCCACATGAGGTTGCCACAAGTCAGAATCACGCCAACAGTAACTGGTTTAGTGGCAGCCCAAAGACTCATCAAGGTTCTCTGGGCTCTCACATCTGTCCAGGGACTCGAACCATAAATAACCAATCAGCAAAGTGGCAGTGCCTGCCACACAGTCTTTCCACACTTTGAGCTGTGAATGGAAGACTCATCATCACACTTCCATTCAAGAAACACTCTTGATGCCGGGCCCACGCACCTCCTCATCTGGTCTGGCCCCTAGGCTTCCCACGGTCCACACTCTCCCATCTTCAGTTATTAATAGGCCCCAAAAGTCAATGCTCTGACTGAGAGGGGCCCTCACAGGCGGCCGGTGACACGTCCATTCATCTCTTGTCACCTGCCCGGGCAGCAGCTGATCCATGTCTCCTTCACTCCCCACACCTGCCTCACCTCCTTAATTGTCAGCAAAGGGCCTCACTTCCTTTGTGATGATATACGTCTCTCTCTCCAACTCTCCCCTCAGACTTCCAGATCTCTCCTGCCTTCCTTGTTGCCTCAGAGAAAGAAGTGGTTTAAAGTGTTCCCCCAGGAAAATCTAATCAGTGGTGGTAGAGGTCTGAAGAGTGGTTACCTCAGGGGCGGAGGTCATAGCCTTGGAAGGGACATGAAGGAAACTTCTGGAAATGTATCTTGATCTGGGTGGTGGTTATAGGGGAATACAAACATGAAGAGTCAGCAAGCTGTACACTTTATAGAAGTAGTCCATGGTCAGCACTTTTCAGTGTATGTTACCCTTTGCAAAATTGGTATAGTAGAGATGTCTGAGCTCCTCTAACTTCACAAGCAGGCTGATTCCTATGAGGCAGAGGTCAAACACGCCTTCACCTTCCAACGTTTTTCCAATCCTGATACCAACCATCTTGCCCATGGCACTGTCTATGTCTCTGCTGGGTTTGGTAATTAGTTGCAATGGGCCACACAGAGCTCACAGACTATACTCACCATTATGGGGTTTATTAGGAAAGTAACAGGTTACAGTTCAGGATCAGAAGCTACTCAGATACAGTTGTTCAGTCAGGACAGCCTCTTCTCGGCAGTGCCTGCAGGCCTGACTCTCTTTGGCCCTCCTCCTCTCGGCCCCGTGGCCCCTCGCCCTCTGTCCTACTCGACCAAGCATTACAAAACGCTTTTGGCTCTGCCAATGCCAAGTGTTCAGAGGCACCCCACTCCACCAGTAAGCCTCCTGCCCCACAGAGAAGGATCTGTTTTGAGGGTGTCAGAGACATGGCTTGGTTTACAAATAGACTTGAGCTGAAATGCTTGCTGGCTGAAGTTCAAGAGCTCAACTCTTAGGAAAGCAAGAGGTCTTGGGTGAGGACAACCTCCCAGAGCCTGGGTTTCTCATTCATTAGGAAGGAGACCCTGATGCCCTGTGCTCAGCACCCTCTCTGTACCCTTCAGTAAGTGCCAGCCACACTGTCACCTTCTACTTCCAGAATAGGTAGTGCTGTCTGCTTTCTCCTGGCATTTGCACATGCTATTCCGTGTGCTTGGAACACTCCAGCCTCTCTAGCCCCTCTTTTCTTGGCTCTCTGAAACGGCACCTCCTTCAGAAAGCGATCCCTCACCCTAGGTGTCCCCAGGAATGGCCCCTGGCTGTTTTCTTACTGTCGTTCCTGCTCTAGACCTTGTCCCTAAGTCAGCGTTGTATCTCCAGCCCCTAGCAAAAGGGGCTTTAGAGTTTGCAGAATTAAGCTAAATGGATTTAGTTCAACCAGATCTTTGACCTAATGGTGCCCAGCAAGTGCTGGGCACACAGTAGGCCCAACCTACTCGGGCTCAACCTCCGGAGCCTGGAAAACAGGCCGTGTGGAGGCCCCATGCTGCCAAGAGCCAACAGACGGTCCAGAGAAGTTTTTGCTCTGGGTCACACCCGCCTCTGGGCAGCTGCCAAGCTCCCTGCCAGAAACCACAGGCTGCCCAGAGTCCGGCCACAGGGCTGAGAGGGTTTGCGTCCACCCTGCAAAGGAGGGTCTGCTGAGCGCTGCCTGGATCAACAGCCCCCCTCCTGGGGTCCAGCAGAGCCAGGAACAGGACTCAGCAATCACAGCAGTGGCCTGCACCAAGCCCCTCTGGGACTGGGAAGAGCTAGAGGGGCCCCTGCCAGCCTGTCATAGGCTCCTGGTATTGGCGCTGGCTTTCACACGTGAGTGTGCACTCTCTCTCACACACACTAGCAGGCACCCTCTTGGTGGCCTCCACAGTCCCACTGTCAGGTAAATGGGCTTGTCAGAGGAACAGGAAGCTGGGGAGAGGCGGACAGAATGAAAAGGGTAGTCTGTGTGTGTGCGCATGCGTGTGTGCGTGTGCGTGTGTGTGTGTGTGAGACTGTGTGTGTGTGTGTGTGTGTTTGCCTGGACTGACCTCACAGCTGCCAGAACATAAAGCCTCACCGGTCCTGCCTCCCAGGCTCAGAGCTGGCTCTGCAGGGGACACAGTGACATGAGAGGCACCCCACTGACCCATCTCCTCTCCTGCTCTCTCCTCTGCCTCCTCTCAAAGGTAAGGGGGGCCCGGGTCCCTAAATGCACCACTGACTTCTTCAGTGTGGTGGGAGGGGTCTGGGAAGCTGCAGGATCATAGCCAAGGACCCCCTGGCAGAACCCCAAGACAGGCTTCCCTCCCTGCACCCAGACAGCTGTTCTGGCCGGCTCGGCTGGGTGACCTCAGGCAAGTCCCTTCTCCTCTCTGAGTCTCACTTCTTCCTCTGTCGAATGGGCACAGTGGTGAAGAGGTCTCTGTGGTGCTCGTGTGTGACAATGCATCTCAAGGGCTCAGCACGGGGCCTGGGATGTGATGATGTTCAGAGAGGGCTGTCATGGCTGTTACCAATCCCCACGGCCCCTCTACAAAGCAGTCAGACATCCTCATTGTAAGTGGGGAACTGAGACTCAGGAAGGGACGTGCATTGTCCAGACAAGCCAGGATTTGAATGGATGTGGATGTCTAACTGATTGGCAAGGTCACCCTGCAAGGGCATGCATGCTGTTGGGGCCTCAGGTGGTGACTGGCTGGCCTGGCTCCAAGGGCACAGGGAGACACCTCAGAGGAATAATGAGCTGCATGGGACAATTATCAAAGGGCTTGTAGAGCATCCACCTTGCCTAACACACACAACCCCATAAGGAGTTATTGTCTTAATGTTCAGTCAAGCGAGGCTCAGAGAGGGTAGGCAATTTGCCCAAAGTCACACAGCCAAGAAAAACCAGAGCAATAGAGGAGGGGCATGAGTGTGTTCGGGGGGAGGGGGGTCTCTAGTCTGTGCTTCTGTCCACCTTGAACCTGGACCAAGGCCACAGCTGTCAGGCCCTTGTCCCCTCGGGAAATTCTGGGTTTCCTGTGTCATGGGGATTGGCCCTACCATGAGCCAGGATCACGCTGTATTTTTATGCTTCTTTGAGGAGCATGGGGCCAGGTTTTTCTCCTCTAGGTCTGGATCATGGGGCCAAAGGAAGCTGGAGAACTAACCCTAGCATCAGTCCTGTTGTCTGTATTCCCAAGTAGGACAGACAAGGCATGACACTAGGACAGGTGGCTTGGGTAGTTGGAGCAGGAGACTTGGGTTCTGGAAGGGAGAAGGGGCCTAGGATTAAATGAAAGATCAGAATTAAGCTGTGCTCCACTCAATGTTCATCCCCTCCGTTCTGCCCCGGTCCCAGGGAAGTGGGGACTTAGTCATCGCAGGCACTGAAAGCCACAACCATCCTCAGACAGAGAACTCCAAGTCTTCCAGACAAGCTGTAGGCTCCTGGGCTCAAGGCTGTGAGGGGCGGGGACAGAGGCTCAGAAACAACAAAGTCATGCTTTGCTGGCTGTGGCCCCTTTAATCCCTGCCCTCACCCCGACAAAGGTGATCTTCGTCCCCATTTACACAGCAGCTAATTGATATGATCAAAGTACTTCACTCTCAGCTCTTGCCCAGAAGACTCCATGTCCAGTGCTCTTACCACAGAGCCTCACTGCCTGGTGACCTCAGCCAGGCTCTGGGGAAACTGAGTGCTGATGGGACCACTTGAACACAGGCCAGGTGGCTAGGCAGGATGAACACAGAGGGAGGCTGGGAGAGGGCACGGTGCCCCTTCGCCATGTGAAACCCCTTTGTAACTTACTCCTCTTGAACAAATGAGTAAATTGAGGCAGACGCCAAGCTGGGGTCAGAGCCCCCAAGGATAAGGGACAGGCGCAGTGATTAAGAGCTTGGGCCTTGGATTCACATGAACCTAGATTCCAGCCCTGACTCGTACTTCTTATTGGCTGTCACTATACTGCTTTCAGCCTTAGTTTCCTCATTGTTACAATGGTTATAATAACAGTGCCTCATGTTAGAGGGTTAAGGTGGACAATGTATCACAGCACTTGGTACACGGTGTGCCTGGGGTATTGTGGGCTATCATCCATATTACAAATAGCCTCTCCTGGGTGTCAAAACCTGCAGAACCCAGCCCCTGCCAAGCTGGCTGGGTTGCGTGACTCTAATGTAGGACCCAGGCGTAAGACAGAAACCTATTAGCTGGTCTTCCTTGTTCGGGTGGGGAGGGAATGGAGAGTCAATTTTGGTCCGAGTTCTCCACTTCCCAGTAACCAAGGGAGCTGGCTTGGAAGGGACCCAGAGTACAGCTTTCTGCTTCTCCAATCAGTTCCATGAGAGTCATCCAGGGATGTAAGCAGATTCAGAAGGTGAGACCCGGGGTGCTGCATTTCTAACCAGTTCCAGGTGATGTAAGTGATGCTGGCACGGACCACACTTTGAGGGCCAAGTGAGGCCATCTTCTCTAGAATCACGTATCAGCCAGTCTCCTGCTTGAAACACCTCCAAAAAGGGCGTCAGACACACCCATCTGTATCACCCAGCGCAGTCTTACATGGGTAACCTCCTCCGTGACACTGCCAGAGCAGGTCTGACAGTTTGTGGTGCCCCTGGTGGCCAGGATGGGCACTGCAGGCCACTGCGAGCAGGTTTGCAGGACTGGGAGGTATTAGGGGTGAGGTGCTGTTGTTGTTGTTATGCGCCGTGGAGTCGGACCCGACTCATAGCAACCCCTCCTTGAGTTTCCGAGGTGTTATCACTACGGAAGGAGATTGGCCAACCTTCCTTCCGAGGAGTGGCTGGTGGGTTTGAACCACCAGCCTTGGGGCAGGGGGAGGCAAAGGCATCATTTCCTGCTTGGGGGCCACACAAGAGATAGGAAGTAATTAATTTTATCCTCCTAGAGCCAATCTTCCCTCTTCTAGATAGAACCCTCCAGTTCCCAAAGGAACCTACCAATTTAAAGATCCCCAAACACCCTCAAAGCAAACCGGCCGCCATCAGGGTTTATTCCAACTCGTGGCAACCAGTGTGTTTCAGAGAAGAACTGTGCTCCACAGGGGTTTGTTTTTTCCTTAATTTTATTTATTTTTGTTGTTGTTGTGAGACTATACACAGTAAAACATACACCAATTCAACAGTTTCTACATGTACCATTTAATGACACTGAGTTGGGCAACCATTTTCACTTTTCTGACTTAAACATAAACTAAGGCTCCTATCTAACCTTTTGAGTTGCTATTGTCAATTTGATCCCATATAGATAGTTCTTAAAAGAGCCTAATGCTCAAGGCTGACATGTTTCACTAGTTAAGCTAACCTATAGTTCAGTTTCAAAGGAGCTCTGGTGACGTAGGGCCTAAGGCATTTGACTGCTAACCAGAAGGTTGATGGTTCAAACCCACCAGCCACTCTGCAGAAGGAAGACTTGGCAATCCACTTCAGTAAAGATTTACCGCCTCGGAAACCCAGAGGAGATCACTAAACACTGCCGTGGAGTCGGATCCGACTCACAGTGATCCCTCCTTGGGTTTCCGAGGCGTTATCACTATGGAAGTAGATTGCCCAACCTTCCTTCCGAGGAGTAGCTAGTGGATTTGAACCTCCAGCCTTCTCGCTAGCGGTCAAATGCCTTAGGGACTATGCCACTGGAGCTCTGGAGGAGATCACTATGAGTCGGAATCAACTCGATGGCATCAAGTTAGGTTTTTTTTTTTGGCATGGTTCAGTTTTAAGATGACTTCAGGTTTAAGGTTTAAAGATTATCTCAGGGCGATAATTTCAGAGGTTCATCCAGCCTCCATGGCTCCAGAAAATCTGGAGTCAGTGAGAATTTGAAATTGTCATCTTCATTTTCCCCCTTCTGATCAGTAGTCTTCTATGGAATCTTTGACCAAAATGTTCAGTAATGGTAATTGGGCACCATCCAGTTCTTCTGGTCTCAGGGCAAAAGAGGCTGTTGTTCATGGAGGCAATTAGCCACATTCCATGTCCTCCCCCTATTCCTGACTCTCCCTCCTCCTCTATTGCTCCAGGTGAATAGAGACCAATTGTTGTCCCTTGGATGGCTGCTTGCAAGCTTTTAAGATCCCACGCACTACACAGCACCCTAGGAAGTAGAACCGAAGCAGTAAAGGCATGTTATTAGGCCAATTAATTGGGATGCCCCATGAAACCATGACTCTAAACCTCCAAACCAAGGAACCACATCCCATAAGATGTTTGATTGTATATAAGCAGCTTCAGCAGCTACTCTTTTGTGTGTGTGTGTCATTGTTGTAACACAACTTTTGCTAATTCAACTTTTTACAGGTGACCAGTCATTACAATTACTGACAGCAATTACAATAAGCAGCTCTGCAACCCTACCCTCAATTAATGTGACTTCTATCACCATTAACCCCCTTTTACCTCTCCCTTCCAGCCCTGGTAACCACTAATAAACTTTGGCTTCTGTACATTTGCCTTTGCTTGTCTTTTTATATAAATGAGGTCATGTAGTATTCGTCCTTTTGTGTTTGGCTTATTTCTCTTAGCATCATGTCTTCAAGCCCCACCTCCACAGTGTTTGTAATGGCTATGATCTTTTAGAAGTGGATTGCCAGGTCTTTCTTATGAGGCATCTTTGAGTGAATTTGAATCATCAACCTTTTGGTTCATATACAAGCACTTAACTGTTTGTGGCACCCAGGGACTCCTAAAGCAAAGATCAGTCCCTCACCAATGAGTCCACTGGGAACATCTTGAATTATGCCAACCTCTTGGTCCCCACCTTCAAGCAGACATATAGGAGTTCATGTTTTTCCTCCAGTTTTCTATGGTAGTGGGTTTGGTGTTGGGAGTTGTAAAATATGCAGTGGGGCTCTCTGTCTAAATGACACATGTCTTACTGTTTGGTGTTTTTTTGTTCCGGGCGGGCAGTCAGGACACTTGGGTTGATGCCTTGACTCTGCCACTGGACAATACCCGGGATACCTGGCTCAGGTGCCCATTACAGGAAAAGTCCATCCCTGGGTGCTCACTGGCGAAGCAGGCATTTGTGGAGGCAGCTGACACACTGTCCCTTTTGGCCAGGCTCTTTCTCTCTCTGGACCTCGGTTTCCCCATCTGTACATCGGGTGGGGGCAGAGTTGGACTGGATCAGAGGGGCTGAAAACCTAGCTGTGTGCCAAAAGCTTCTGGACACTTTGTTACTGACACAGAGCCCAGGAGTTTGGACTTGGTAAATCTCAGAGGGTCCTTGAGACCTGTATTTTACCAAGCTTCCTGGCTGATTTGCTCAACCCAGGGTTGGGAAGCACACCCTCGATGGCTCCAAGATTAAAAACGCCCACAATACCATGTAATTTCTGCAGCCCTCAAGGTAAGTATCCACAGTCCACATGCTGGAAAGGGCTGCTTCAATCCACCCCTTCGTTGCTTTTGCCTTTCTGTAAGGTTCTAGAGGGCAGGGCCTAAGCCATTTCAGGTCACTAACAATGATGACTGTCACAGATAAATATACTGAGCAGCTCCTGTGTACCAGGCCATGTACTAAGGGCTTAACATGCCCCTTTTCATGTCCTCCTTGAAATAATCCTTTGAATTAAATACTATATTTTCCTCATTTTTCAGATGAGGAAAGTGGTTAAGTAAGTAAGAGGCTCAGAAAGGTTAAGTAACTTGCCCAAAGTCACACAGCTAGTAAGAGGCAGTGCTAGGGCTAGAACTCTAGTCCAGCATCCTTGCTCACGGCCACAGAACTGGACAGCCAAGGCTCAAGGTCAAATCTGTATGACTCTGGGCCAATGCATGGACCCCACATTGCCCAGCCTGGCAGATAAGTGGCTAGCTGTGAGGGTCTCACTACCTGCCTTCAACATCAGTGGCTGAGTGAGGTCTCTGTTTCTGCAGGTGTGTGCCCAGCTGTGCCCAACACCGTGTACCTGCCCCTGGCCGCCTCCCCGATGCCCACCGGGGGTGCCCCTGGTGCTGGACGGCTGTGGCTGTTGCCGGGTATGTGCAGGGCGGCTGGGGGAGCCGTGTGACCACCTCCACGTCTGCGACCCCAGCCAGGGCCTGGTCTGCCAGCTTGCGTCGGGCCCTGGCGGCCCGAGGGCCGTTTGCCTCTGTAAGCAGGTTTGCGGGATGGATGGAGGGGGGCGGGCAAGGCCACGGGTTCTCAGTCCATAAGCAGCCTCTTCACTCTAGCTCCTCTCCCTCTCACTTCACGTCCACTCCTGTCAAACCCCCAAGTGCACCCCCAACATTCCCCGTCTTGGCCTTTGCTGGGACCACGCCTACTGTCTAAATAGTCTTTCTCCCACTCCTTCTGGTCCAAGTCACAGCCAACTTCCACCACTTGTCTGTCAGTTTGCCGTACTGCGGTGGCTTGCGTGTTGCTGTGAGGCTGGAGGCTGTGCCACCAGCACGTCAAATACCAGCAGGGTCACCCGTGGTGAATGGGTTTCAGCAGAGCTTCCAGACTAGGATAGAAAGCAAAGGATTGGACCATCTGCTTCTGAAAACCTTGGCCAATGAAAACCTTATGAACGGCAATGAAACACTGTCTGATACTTTACAACTCCCTACACCAAACCCACTACCATCGAGTGGGAGCCGACTCATAGCGACCCCATCTTGGGTTTCCAAGGTGGTATCTCTATGGAAGTGGATTGCCCCATCTTCCTTCCAAGGAGTGGCTGGTGGGTTTGAACTGCCAGCCTTCTGGTTAGCAGTCAAGTGCCTTAGGCACTACGCCACCAGAGCTCCTGCAACTCGCAAAGCCAAGCTCAACTACCTCCTCCCCCGAGAAGTCATGCCAGATCCCACACTCTGGGGGTCACCATCCCACTCTTCCCTTACACACTTTTGGGAAAATAAAGGCACGACCCTTCATTCAGGGAACAGTATGTGGCAGGCATTGTGCTAAGCACTCACTACACACTACTCACACTACTGCTATCAATACTTCCAGACCCATTTTACAGAGGATGAAACTGAGGCCCAGTCTCCATCACGCTTAATGGCACACAGCTTGAGGCCCTGGTCAAGCAGGCATTAAAGTCGGCATTCCCTCTGTCTCCCTCCTGGATGGAGAGCCGTGGGCCTACAGTTTGAGTCCAGGACTTGCTATTTACTTGTGACCTTGAACAAGTGACATCTTTCACCCTTCTTCTAGGCCGCAGTGTCCTCGGATGCATTATGGCATTTGTAACGTGAGGTTTTCCCACCTAACCCTAGTGACACCAGGCCCAGATGGGTCTCTGTGGTGGCGGCTGTCTGCATTTTAGGCTGTTTGGTAGCTTCCCTGGCCTCTGCCCACTAGGTGCCAGTAGCAACCCTCCAAGTTGTGTCGACTAAAACCATCTCCAGACGGTGACAACCGTCCACTGGGGGCAAAATCATGCCTAGTTGAGAACCATTTGTTGTTGTTGTTGTTGTTGTTATGTTCCATCTCATAGCGACTCCTCCTTGGGTTTCCGAGGCAGTATCACTACGGAAGTAGATTGCCCCATCTTCCTTCCAAGGAGTGGCTGGTGGGTTTGAACTGCCAGCCTTCTGGTTAGCAGTCAAGTGCCTTAGGCACTATGCTACCAGAGCTCCCAAAAGGTCAGCCCACTGCGTTGGCCGGGAATCGAACCTAGGTCAACTGCGTGGAAGGCAGCTATGCTCACCACTATACCACCAACGTAGGGAAATATGGAGAAAAACACAGGGGCATATGCTTTTAAAATAATCATACTAATAAGGCTTGTACCTCTTTCTTCTCTATGCATGTCCATTTTATAAAAATAACAGTGACAGAGAGAAAGGCCCATGAATCAATAAAAATGAGTTCATAAAAAAAAAAAAACCTTTAATAACCTGTTTTTTTTTTTCCCCCCAAAGGGTGGGGGGAGCTCTGGTGGCATAGTACCTAAGGCATTTGAATGCTAAACAGAAGGCTGGCAGTTCAAACCCACCAGCCACTCCTAGGAAGGAAGGTTGGGCAATCTACTTCCGTAGTGATACCGCCTCGGAAACCCAAGGAGGGGTCGCTATGAGTCGAATTGACTCGATGGCAGAGTTTGTTTTTTTTAAAAAAATCTGTTAAAAAAACTTGCAGATAGATAGAAAATTATCAATAGTAAGTTCTTGTTAAATGCATTATTTAATTGGGGGCACGTGGTCATGAGAAAGGAGAAATGTGTTATATAAACACATAGATGGTTGTTACTGAAAATGTATCAAAAAACCATTACCACCAACGTCTCCAGGAAGCCCCATTGTTCCTTCCTCATTCAGACTCAGGGAAGGTGACTTTCACATCATCTCTCCCCTCCTGACCCGAGAGTCCCTGGAGGCAAGGACTGTGTCTTACTCTTGCCCAGGAGCACAGTGCTTGGCATGTAGGAGATGCTCAAAAAATACTTCCTGAATTATAAGGGGTGAGAGTGATTTCATCCAGTGTGCTGAGCCTCATGCCAGGCATTCACTCAGGGGGCACCTCCTGAGGTTCTATGTGTCCTGTGGGGGGAGAGGGTGCCATGACGACACAGCCCCACCCTCAGGGAGTTCTCCTTCAGTGGAAGAAGCTGAGGGCTTTGTTCAAAGAGTGTTTCATGAGCACCTACTACATGCTAACTCTGTACTATGGGCTGTGTACATATTACACACAATTGAAGGTACAGATGCAGTATTAAGGTGACTCAGAGAGGTTAGGCAACTTACTCAAAGCCACACAGCCAGCAAGTTAAGCCCTGACCTAACACTGATGCCTGCAACACAGCAGGTGGACAACAAAATCTCAGAGTGTATGTAATACTTATATATGCTTAATATATGATTATTATAATTATATATTATATAAATTAATAAGAATGACAGCAACACAGTTGTTGTTGTTGTTGTTGTTGTTGTTATATTCTGTGTAGTCGAGGTCAATTGAAAATCTTTGTGAGGGCTATGTTATATGTGGAAGCTCTGGTAGCGTAGTGCCTAAGGCACTTGACTGCTAACCAGAAGGCTGGTGGTTCAAACCCACTCCTCGGAAGAAAGGTTGGGCAATCTACTTCTGTAGTGATATCACCTCAGAAACCCAAGGAGGGGTCGCTATGAGTTGGGTCCAACTTGACGGCACATAACAACAACAACAATGTTATATGTATCACTTCACAATTGTTTCGGTTCCCTAGTGCCTCTCTGACAAGAATATACCACAAATGGGATGGCTTTAACAAACAAGTTTATTCTTACAATTTTTGGAGGCTAGAAGTCCCAGTTCAAAGTGCCAGGCTCTAGGAGCTAGGTGAAAGCCCCCCAACCGTGGGCTTCAGCTCTGCCTCTTGCTCCCAGCCCACTGAAGCTAGAGGCTTCTCTTAACTCAGGCAGCAGCTGGCTGCTGTGGCTGACAAATCCAAGGTCAACAAGTGAAAAGGCACAGTCTGGATGTCACCAAACAACACAGGAGTCCACTAATTCAAGCCCAGAAAAAGTCCCAAGATCAGCAGGGCAGGGCAGGCTGTTGAATAACGACTCGGCTACGTGCAGGGTTCAAGCCAAAAAGCCAGAGAGCTCCCTCAAAGTTGCTTTTTATATACTAGAAGCAGAGCACATCCCTAAAACAGCTACTCAACTTGTTGTTAGGTGCCGTCGAGTCATCTCTGACTCATAACAACCCCATGCACAGCAGAACGAAACACTGTCCAGTCCTGTGCCAGCCCCACGATCCCTGCTATACCTGAGCCCATCGTTGCAGCCACTGTGTCAATCCACCTCGTTGAAGGCCTTCCCCTTTTTCATTGTCCCTCCACTTTGCCAAGCATGATATCTGTCTCCAGGGAATGGTCCCTTCTTAGAACATGACCAAAGTAGGTAACAAGAAGTTTGGCCATTCCCACATCCAAGGAGCATTCCAGCTGCATTTCTGCCAGGAAAGATTTGTTAGTTCTTTTAGCAGTCCATGGTACTTTCAGTATTCTTCACCAACACCACAACTCATCTGTTTGTTGAAACAACTCAAAAACATCGACTCTTCTTTGACCTTCCTTTTTCACTGTCCAGCTCTCACATGAATATGAGGTAACTGAAAATACCATGGCATGGGTCAAGCATACCTTAGTCTTCAAGGAAACATCCTTGTTCCTCAGCACTTGAAAGAGGTCCTTTGCAGCAGATTTGCACAGTGCTATACGATGTCTTATGTCTTGACAGCTGCTTCCATTTGTGTTGATTGCAGAACCAAGTAATACGAAGTCTTTGACAACTGCAATCTTTTCTCCATTTATCATGATGCTGCATGTTGGTCCTGTTGTGAAGATTTTTGTTTTCTTTATATTGAGATGTAATCCATACTGCAGATTGTAATCTTCAATCTTCATTAGTAAGTGTTTCAAGTCGTCCTCACTTTCAGCAAGCAAAGTTGTGTTGACTGCATAATGCAGGTTGACAATGAGTCCTCCTCCAATCCTGATACCGTGCTCTTCTTCATATAGCCCACCTTCTCAGATTATTTGTTCACATACAGATTGAATAAGTATGGTGAAAGGATACAACTCTGACACAGTCTCTTCTTGCTTTTAAACCATTCAGTGTCCCCCTGTTCCATTCAAACAATAGCTTCCTGGTCTATGTACAGGTTCCTTGTGAGCACAATTAAGTGTTCTGGAATTCCCATTCTTCTCAACATTATCCATAATTTGTTATGATCCACACAATCGAATGCCTTTGCATAGTCAATAAAACACAAGTAAACATCATTCTGGTATTCTTTGTTTGAGCCAAGATTCATCTGACATCAGCAATGATATCCCTCATTCCACATCCTCTTCTGAATCCAGCCTGCATTTCTGGAAGTTCTCTGTCAATATTCTGCTGCAACCTTTTTTTTTTTTTTTTTTAATTATCTTCAGTAAGATTTTACTTGCATGCGTTATTGATATTGTTTGATAATTTCCACATTCTGTGGGATCACCTTTCTTTGGAATGGGTACAAATATGGGTATTTTCCAGTGACTTGGCCAGGTAGTTGCCTTACAAATCTCTTGGCGTAGCCGAGTGAGTGCCTCCAGTGCAGCATCTGTTTGTCGAAACATCTCAGTGGGTATCCCATCAATTCCTGGAGCCTTGTTTTTCACCACTTCCTTCAGTGGAGCTTTGACTTCTCCCTTCAATACCATTGGTTCTTGATCATATGCCACCTCCTGAAATGGATGAACATCAACCAATTCTTTTTGGTACAGTGACTCTGTGTATTCCTTCCATCTTCTTTTGATGTTTCCTGCATCATTTAATATTTTGCCCATAGAATCTTTCAATATTGCAACTTGAGGCATAAATTTCCTCTTCAGTTCTTTCAGCTTGAGTCCAGCTCCATGTCTTTGCACATTTCATTTTAATAATTGACTTTATCTTCTTGAGCTGCTCTTTGAAATCTTCTGTTGAGCTCTTTCATCTTGTCATTTCTTCCATTTTCTTTAGCCACTCTCCCTTCAAGTGCATGTTTCAGAGTCTCTTCTGACATCCATTTTGGTCTTTTCTTCCTTTTTAATGACCTTTTTCTTTCTTCGTGGATGATGTTCTTGATGTCATCCCACAGTTCCTCTGGTTTTCAGTCATTGGTGTTCAATCCAGCAAATATATTCTTTAGATGGTCTCTAAATTCAGGAGGAATATAATCAAGGTCATATGTTGGCTCTTGTGAACTTGTTTTAATTGTCTTCAACTTCAACTTGAACGTGCAAATGAGCAGTTGATGGTGGGTTCGACAGTCAGCTGCTGGCCTTGTTTTGGCTGAAGATATTGAGCTTCTCCATCGCCTCTTACCACAGATGTAGTCAATCTGATTCCTGTGCACTCTGTCTGGCAAAGTCCACGTGTATAGGTGCCATTTGTGTTATTGAAAAAAAAGGTATTTGCAATGAATAAGTTGTTTGTCTTACAAAATTCTATCATGCGATCACCAGCATTATTTCTATCTCCAACGCCAAATTTTCCAATTACCAGTGATTCTTCTTTGTTTCCAACTTTTGTATTCTAGTCACCAGTGGTAATCAGCACATCTTGGTTGCATGTTTGGTCAGCTTTGGACTGCAGAAGTTGGTAAAAATCTTCAATTTCCTCATCTTTGGCTCTGGTAGTTGGCACATAAATTTGAGTAATAGTAGTATTAACTGACTTTCCTTGTAGGCATATGGATATTATTCTATCACTGACAGCATTGTACTTCAGGATAGATCTTGAAACATTCTTTGTGACAATGAATGCCACACCATTCCTCTTCAATTTGTCATTCCTGACATAGTAGATCATATGGTTGTCTGATTCAAAATGGCCAAAACCTGCCCATTTCAGCTCACTAATGCCTAGGATATCAATCTTTATGCATTCCATTTCATTTTTGACAACTTCCAATTCTCCTACATTCATACTCTGTACATTCCATGTTCTGATTATCAATGGATGTTTACAGCCGTTTCTTCTCATATTGAGTCGGGCCACTTCAGCAGAGACCCTGAAAGTTCTGCTTTATCCATATCATTAAGGCAGTCTCTACTCTGATGGGGCAGCTCTTTTCCAATCATATATTGAGTGCCTTCCAACCTGAGGGGCTCATATTCTAGCACCATATTGGACAATGTTTCAGGGCTATTCATAAAAATTTCCAGTACTATATCAGACAGTATCTCACTACTATTCATAAGGTTTTCACTGGCCAATTCTTTGAGAAGTGGATGGCCTCTTTTTTCTTCCAAGTCTGCCTCTGTCTCACCATGGGGAATAACTGCCCATCCAGCTGCCCAGCCAATCAACCAGACCCAGCCAAGTTGACATGCAAGCTTTACTACCACAACAATCCTTGAAATAAGTACCATTATATCCCTATTTTGAAGATGAGGAAACTGAGGCAAGAAGCAGTGAAATCCTTTGGCCAAGGTGCACAGTTAGTCAAGGGGAGAGCAGGAAATCATATTGGGCCAGACTTCTTGCAAACCCTGTGCCAGAGTCCAGTATGCCACGCCATCTTCCTGCAGGGCTGAGGCAGGCTGGCAGTGGGGATGCGGTGCACATCGGTGGGCGGGAGTCCCTGGCTCAGGTACCAGAAAAGGTTCCCCTGCTGGATCCGAGTTGGCTCTGCCAGGGGGCCATGCACAGGATGTGGCCGGCATGGCCTCAGCTGGCCTTGTCCAGGGAACGGTCGGGGTGACCGATGGGGGTCCCGTTTCTCCCCTGCAGTGGGAGAGGAGGACGGAAGCTGTGAGGTGAACGGCCGCCTGTACAGGGACGGAGAGACCTTCCAGCCCCACTGCAGGGTTCGCTGCCGCTGCGAGGACGGCGGCTTCACCTGCGTGCCGCTGTGCAGCGAGGACGTCCGGCTGCCCAGCTGGGACTGCCCCCAGCCCCAGAGGGTGGAGGTCCCCGGCCAGTGCTGCCCTGAGTGGGTCTGCACCCAGACCCTGGGGGTCCAGACCCTCCCAGCTCGAGGTGAGTGCCGGCTGGGCCCAGCCCGGGGGTGACGTCACAGGGGCAATGGGGTGCCCTGAGGGGCCAGGGTGGGGGAGGGCTGCCAGGACACCTGGAAACATAAAAGTAAAGGTTTTACTAACAGACGCTGGACAGTGGGGTGGGTGGAGAAGTGGCCCAAACAAGAAGCCGTGGTTAATGCATATAATTTTCAATCACATTGTTGTGAGGTGCTGCCAAGTCT